CTATGCGCTCACTGCATCTCCAAGTACCCCGTCCAACGTCGCGCCAGAGTTGATGGGCCATGAGCCCGGAGGGCACCTTTGTGTAATCGGGGTCCACCCTGTAGTCCCCCCATCGGCAACGTGTGTTCGGTCAGATGCTTCTCCCCCTCGTCTACGCAGGGGACAACGCCCTCCTTCTCTGCCACCGCGAAGTCCCCAAGACCCGCCGAGCTGAACGACGCGCCTCCACCCCCTCCTCCGTCTTGAACCGCCTCCTCTCACGACAACGGCCCACGACGATCAGAGACTCGAGATCCCAGAAGATCCCAGAAATTCCGCACCCGCTCTCTGAAGCATCAGAACAGTGCACCCACGATTGCAGGGCAACCGCCAATCAGAAACGATCATGGGAAGCAGACCTCGGAACGCAAGCAGCTCCTCACGACAGCTATCCCAAAGAGGGGCTGCCTCTTCCTGCATGTTCGTGACAAGCCTGTAGCATGCATGAAATGCCGAAAGCACGGGCCTGCGGACGAGCCCTATGCAGGTACAGTGGCCCAACAGCACTCGCAGGTCATCTCCTCGCACCTCCCGAAGCTGCAGAAGGCCAGCGATCCCCTGCCTCACTCTCCAGAGCCTCTTCATCGAGGGCCGAGTCTGGTAGCCCTTGCCGTCAAATACCACCCCCAGTACCTCGATGCCGTCACTCTGGACCTCTCGCCCATGGCCCTTGAGCCCTACCGCCTCGAACGCCGGGACCAGCTGGTCCAGACTGCGGCTGACGAGCTCTCCATTCTGGCCGATCGCGCCCACGTTGTCCACGTAGACGCAGTGCCCCGCCTGCTCGGTGCCACGCGCAGGGCGCAACGCCAGCGGCTTACCGAGGTCGCTCAGAGGGGCGCCGTCCTTTAGACAGGGTGCTAGCTGACATCGGAGCTCCGTCACGCTCTGGCAGAGGCACAGGCTCCACGCGCACCCCATCGGCAGCGCCTTAGGAATTGGGTAGACCACATCGTCGTAGCTCAACACGTGGCCGTCTAGCACGGTGCCCTGCAGACCAGCATCCCCTGCCTTCAGCGCGGGAAGACCGGAGAGCCGCCTCGCCCAGGGCGGCAGCCGCACGCGGTGGAAGGCATCCTTCACGTCGGCAACCCCGACCGAGAACTCCACGTCCTGCAGCATCGCCTGGTAGGCTGCCTGCAGGTGGTCGGACGCCCCCCTCGATCTCCTCGAACTCAAAGGCTGACGGCCCTTCCGCGGTCAAGAGCTGAACGGACGGCGCGTCTATCAACCAAGCGTTGCTTCTGCGGCAACCTAGAATCACACGCGACGCCCCCCCCCCCCCCCTTCTTCCACAAAAAGAAGACGCCTACCATCTCCAAGACCTGAAGCGTAAACGACACCAAGCCGCGCCCGGCGAGGTCCCTGACAAAATCGCGATAGCATCGTCGGCTCCGTACCAACGATGGCTCGCTGAAAGGACGCGCGTGGGCATCGCTCCACTGCCTCAACTACTCCAGTATGGTCTCGCAACATGCGCTCGCCCTGCCCTTCCACAACTGGCGCGCTCGTTCCCGAAGTAGCTTGTGAAGCGCTGGGGCCTCGGCTATAGTGCCAGGGGGCGACGGAGGACCAGGGCGGAAAGGGGCAGGCACATCCCCGGGGGGGCCGCCCAGGCACGGTGACCTCCCACGCATCAACTCTCGCAAGGCTGAATGCGGCGACTGCATGTTGACGCCCCGCATCGGCTGCGCGATGTTGTCCGCCTGCCCTTCGATGCGCTGCGTGGCCTCGAGCTGCGCGGTAGAGGGGGGCTCCGTGGAAGACCCCGCGTCAGCTCCCGCCAACCAAGTGAGGCTCCGAGTGGCCTCTTGCGCGAGTCGACCTCGAAGTTGCCGCCGACGCCGACGCCCTCGCTGGCGCCCAGTTGCAGCCAAGCCCGCTGGCACCTCTCTTTCAGGCAGGGGATAGAGGTCGCGAGCTCCAGTCCCAGGCTCGAGCCCAGGTAGCCCACCACGGGTGAAACTGCTGGGTGGGCTAAGCCCAGCAGCCAAGCCGACCGTCGTCATTGGCCGCCCCCCGACGCGGCCGCGTCGAGGAGCTTCTTGGTCTTGCCCTTCGGATTCGCAGAGTCGCCCTTGCCGTCGCCCTCCTCGGCCCTTGGCCTCTCAGCAATCGTGAGCCCACGCGCGCGGGCACTCAGGTATGCCGCGCCCTCCTTTGCCCGTCTCGCCCCGAAGCTGCGAATCTCAGGGGCCACCGCGTCGCTCGGTCCCGATTCTCCCGCCAGATGCCGCGCCATGCGCCAGTTGGCTGGAACGCCCGGCACCGAGTGTGAATCCGTGATCACCTGGACTCGGCGTGCCAGGCGCCCCATGCACCGCAGGGCGCCCAGGTTCAGCAGGTCGCGCGCCCCCGCCAGCAGCAGCGCGCGGCAGAGAACCTCCAGTTCATGGTAGATGCGGTCCTGGCGCTCCACGCGGTGCTCCCGAGTCCACTCCGCCATCCATCTGATGGGGTCTCCGCCGTTCCTGCACCTCGCCTTTGCCAGGAACACCACCGACACGGGCCCTTCGATCGAGTCTTCAGCATACGACTCAGCCGTATCTCGTTCACGACGGTACGCCAGCCTTTGTGCCATTCTCCTCGACCATCAAAGTCCACGCTCAGGGTGCGAATATCGTCAGCGGCCTTCGCCGCCATCTGGGTCTCATGGGCGGGGGGGCCACTTGCAGCGTCCGCGCCTCCGAGCCCCAGGCGATCCATCACGGCATCTACGATCGCGGCATCCCCAGGAGGGGTGCGAGTCCCCAACGCATTCTGCAGACGACCGGGTTGCTCTCCCGCACGTTGGGGCGCCTGGCCGATCGGCAGCCTCATCACCCTGCAAACCTCATCACCGAAGTACGTCAGGCCGTGATTCCCCGCGATGGTGCCCCCGACTTGCATCTTGACCTCTTCCCCGATCGCGTGGCCCCCCCTGGCTCCATCAGCATCCATATTAGGTCGGTTCCTATCTCTCCTACCGGCAATAGCTCCGCATCGTCCGCGTCGCCCCGCATCGCAGAGACCAGCTCGCCTCGGCGGCCCTCGCTGTTAAGAGTGAAGCGCGGCCAGTCTGCTTCCTCCTGACCACGCGCTGCCTCTATGTCACGGCACCCGCGGCTGTAGGCGAGGATCCCCTCGAGCGAGGGCAGCTCTGAGAACTTGTGCAGCCTCCTGCCCCCGCGAGGCGGGTAGCCCGCCTCAGGCAGTGGCCGAGAAATCTTTGGCCCATGCTCGGAGTCACCTCCACCTAGCTGCTCCTGCCAGAGGCCACCGTCGGGCGACAGGACCCGGACCCACCACGTACTTTCGTCAACCGACTTGCCGTAGGCGTCGGCCCGTCGTGATGGCCAGATCAGCACTCTCTCGTGATCCACCACGTCGTCGCTGTACCTCACGCGAGCGAGCCCTCGATCCCACGGGGGCTCTATTCCAGTAGCCCTGCTCCCCCGCTCCGAGGCGCAACGGCGCGCCCCCTCCTGCCATCAGCCTCGTCTCGAGCCGCGGCGCGGCGGCGCTCTGCACGCCAGCCCCAGGCCGCGCCGCCCACCAGCTGGCCCAGCAGCCACCAGGGCGGCCCTGCACTCACAGCAAGCCTTCGTGGCTCCTCGGGCGCTGGGCACACGGGCGCCTCCACCACAGGGCAGCTCGGCGGCTCCCAGAGTGGTTCCTCCAGTTCCTCCGAGGCCCGCGGAGGTGGAGGGGGTGGCGGACCCGCCGCCGCAGCGCGGTCCAGCTCCTCCAGCGCCAGCCAGGGAGCGCGGTCCACGCTATCAAGCCCGAGGTGGGCCAGCTGTAGCCAGAAGGGGCGTGAACCATGCCTCCTCGAACCAAGTCGGCTTCGGAGACGCAGCTGCAATAAGGGCGAGCACGCGGGGGCTGGCAACTGCTGCTGCTACTCTAAGACACGACATCCCACTCCTCTCCAATCATGTCCGTGCACGCACCCCCATCATCATCATCGTCAATGCCATAATTCTCAGGCTCGCCGTTTCCCCCCTGATCCCTCCTCGTCCACCTTATTGCCGCGCCTCCTTATCCTCCTTCGTACCTCCGCAGTGCGCCCGCAGAATTGGTCTCCTGACCCCTCCCGGGAGCCCCCCCAGCCATGACTGCGGGGCGGACCAAGCCTGTGGCTACGAGGCGTCCAAGGAAGCCCACAAACACTTTTGACATTTCTGGATCCCCGGGACACTCGTTTCCCTTGCCTGGAACCGTGTTGTTGCTCATCCACGGTCGTCCCGGAGCCCGGAACCGGCCACCAGAGGCAGAAGAATCAGATAACCTCAGGAAACCCATAAGGACCCCCCCCGGGGTTATCATTAGCACCGCACCGTAATCAAATAATTGTTGTTGGGGGGTTCGCCGAATGATATAATTAGCACCGCGCAAATGGAACGAAAATAAATAATGCCCGCGCCCTGGCTCGGGTGGTATCCCAATTGAAACTGGAATAGGACTAATAATGATAATGATAATGCGAATATAATAATAATGATAAGAATAAGAATAAGAATAAGAATAAGAATAAGAATAATAATGCGAATAAGAAATAAGAAGACCATATTTGCGAGAATGTTCAGGCGATTTGCTTGTTTCGGCGGGCAGACTCGTCTGCGTTCAAAGCAGGTTGCCAGGTGCCAGGGTAGTGCTTCCAGGGTGCCGGATGTGGTATACTTTCGCCGGAGACGGGGGGTTCTTAATTGCTTACTCGGGTTAAGCATATGTTGCCACATCGTCCAAAACTCAGCCCCTCCTCCACGCCTCCTTCGTCCCTCATTTGCACGCCCGAAGTTGGGACTGACAAACACTGTGAGAATGCCCAACAGCACATGCTGTCCAAAGAGACAGCGTCTGCTGTTGGGCCGGTGAAGTTGTCGCATTACCTACAGCGACAGCGAGTTCAAAATGGGAGGAGCTGCTGCTGCTGCTCCTTTCCCTCGTTTTTTGGGTCTGGTCTTCAGCGCCAAACCCTCCTCGGACTCGAGCATGCGCTTGGTGATGTAGGGCAGCTCGTAGGATCCCGGGACGGCCGCCTGCACGATGTTCTGCCTCTTGACGCCCTGCCTCGAGGAAGAGAGGGGGGCAAGGGCAAGGACGGGCGGGAGGGAGGCAAAAGGAAGGAGCTCGAGCCGCGTCTCGTGACCCTCCTGGGGCCTCCGGCCCTCCGCGCACCTCGGGAGCTCTCAGGGGACGAAGGAGAATAGGAGAGGGAGAGCAGGATACGGGGACGCAGGAAAGGGGAAGCAGTGGGGGGAGGGGGGGAGGGGGGGGGGGGGCAGAGGGCGAGAGGGAGGAGAAGGAGGAGGAGGAGGAGGAGGAGGAGGAGGAGGAGGAGGAGGTAAGGGAGGGAAGGGGGAAGAGAAGGGACCTGAAAAGGGGGGCATGAGGGAAGAGGCGGGATGGAGGCGGGAGGAGAGAGGCATGCAGCGGGGGGGGGGCGATGGAGATGGAGAGGGAGGGGGGGGGGCGGGCGAGGCGAGAGAAGAGGGGGAAAACGAAGAGGAAAGGAGAGATTAGCGGAGGGGAGAAAAGCGGGGTCAGAGGGCGGAGCGAGGATGGTCGGAAGTGCGGATGCAGGACGGGGAGGGGCAAGGCCCGGCGAGGCAAGAGAAGAACACAGGCATGCCTTTCCAAAAAGGTATGCCGCCCCCTCCCCCCGCCACCCTCTGGGCGGCGGTAAGAGGGGAGCGGCGGTCGGAGGGTGGGCGGGGGCTAGGGAGCCCACAAAGGACGTACGCGCCCAACTATGTACATGAACACGGCCACTTGACCCGCGAGACCGGCCGCGTGATACGAACAGTCGCGCAGTGCGAACTCTTGAAGCCAGCGCGGATTCATGTACGCGTGAGCCCTTCCTTCGCTCCTGATCGGGGGTGGGGGGGACTGGGCCTGGGCGGACGGCCGATCTTGCTGAAAGAACAGCACGCAATCAAGCCTACAGGGAGGAATAATGGGGAAGGGCAAGGAGAGGAGCGGAGCCGAGCTGAGCGGCACCGATGTCGCCCAGGGAGCGTACCGTGGAGGGAACGGCGGGTGCGGCGGGGCGCCCCAGTTGGATCTGCGAATGTGCATACATTCCATATCCCTCTGAAGCTCGTCATCACGAAGAAAGGAGAGCGCTGTAGGTACGGGTGCGGGTTGTTGGACCCCGAGGAAGGCTCCCGTTCGAGCGCGGGCCCCCATCCGACAAACACGCAAACACGCACACACCCGTAGACCCCCACAGAATCCAACCTGGAGAAGCGTAGGGGTCGCGAAACAATTGGTTCTACTTGTCAGCTCCTGAGATCTGGAGTTCCTGCAGTGGACGAACATCAAGCCAGGTGGGGAGCGCAACATCACATCGATAACACAACTGGATAACAAGACAACGCAACGAGGAAGCCACGAAGAACGCGCATTCGATTATTCCTTACATAACGCGATACTTGAACAGTTCCACCAACCCTGCAAACGGTGATCGTGCCCGAGCAAATGTGATCGGCGGGTCGCGCCGCATCGCAGATGCATCGCCGATGCATCGGCGATGCGGCGCTACCTTCCGACCCCATCTACGCTGACCCAATGTGGGAGTCCTAGAGGCTTGAGGTCTGGAGGGGGGGGGTCTCCTCCGCATCGGGGGACCGCAAGCGGGGCGGCACGACGGGGTGCGGCCCGACCCGCGCAGCAGAGACGCCACGGCGCGGCCCCGCGCCTCCGTGGGCGCTTGCTGACGAGCAGCTCGACGAGGCGAAGGCGGCGGCGGCAGCGGCGGAGCAAAGGGCGGCGGCGGCGAGGATGGCCCGCCTCTCCATCTGGGCGATCGTCTTGCTGACGAGCAGCTCGATGAGGTCCTCGGAGGCCGGGAATGGCTACCGCCCCTGAGGCATCTCGCCTATCCTGGGCCGGAATTGGGGCCCCTGTTGTGAGCGGACTTGCCCTGGGCCCCCCAGAGGGGAGGGATGGAGGAGGGGAGGAGGGGCCGGTCTGTTCTTTCGTCTCCCGCTCCAGCCCCTTCCCTCCTCCTCGTCCTCATCCTCAGCTCTGTTGGGCGCGCTGGCGCACACCACAGGTGGCAAGGGGTCTTGGGTCCGAACTGCGACCCCTAGAAAAAGCTGGGCAGAGCGCTAGAGGCAAGAGGGGACGGGAGCGGAGTCGTGCGGCACGACGACGGCCACGTGGAGGCAGCAGACAAGCGGAATTCCGGACAGGAGAGGCTGCCGAGGATCACGCCATTGCCAAGCCATCCGTGGTGTTGCGACTGGCTTACCACTTGCACGAGAGGTTGTGCAGAGCAACGCTGCAGGTCAGCACGAGACACTTTTCCCCGATGGCCATGAAGTAGCAAGCCATTCAGAGAGCGAAGAAAAATCGGAACAAAGACAGGTTGCAAAACAAGATCCACGAGTTGGTCGTGAACTCGCTCCACTTGCTTTGCCTGCGTGGTGGAAGATGACGCTGCCGCGATGGTGCTGAGTCGTGCGCCGCGCATCGATGTTCCGGGATGTGGCACCCCGCATCGACGAAGGCCCCCGTGCGGGCCGCGTGGCGCCGAACGGTGGCAGCTAAGTAAGCCGCTGTGGCCTCGCGAGCGGCCCGTGCAGCTCTCGGGGCAGAGGCTGGGACGACGGAGGAGATCGTCGAGATCGTCGACGGAGGAGATCGTCATCCTCAGCCCTACGAGGCCGCGAGGCCGCGCTTGGGCAGCGCTGCCCAGGCAGGCGAGGCCGCGCCTGGGCAGCGCTGCAATTCCCAGCCAGGAGCGGGTGACCGTTGCCCACTGCGCAGTAACGGTGCGCAAGGGCGGGCGGGCGGGCACCGTGCTCCAAAAGTTCCGCTGCCTTCGCCTCCAGACGACGGCATGCAGATCTGCCGTTGGCGTGGCATGGCGGCGTGCAAGTCTGTAGCGTTCGACGCGTCGACGCCGCGCCATGGCCCACCCGTGCTCGCGGGGACGTTCCCGCAGGCGTGCGACGAGATGCGCAGCTACGCTGGCTGGCGCAGCGGGGCTCTGGCCTCCAGGGAGGGATCGGGGGCTGCCAGGTGCGGGAATGCAAACATGGCAGCGGCCAACGCGTCCTGCGCCCACGGCCCCGTGTCCTCCTCTTCCCCCTCCCTCCCTCCTCAACTCCCGCTTCCTCCCTCTCCTCATCCCCTTCTCCCCTCATTACATCCTACTCCCCTCGGCCCTCCCCATCGACAACAGCGCGCGCGCGCGAGGGAAAGAGAGAAGCATCGCGGTGCCAATCTCTCCTCATGCTCCTCCTTCCTCCCTCCCTCCCTTTCCGAATCATACCGACCCATTGACCCTCACCCATCCTCCCCCGCCTATCTACTCCGTGTCTCCGTATCCTCCCCCTCCTACCTACTCCGTGCCTCCGCTTACGGAAGCCGACGGCAATGAAGTAAATGTGCAGCCAGGGAACCACGTTAATACATCATACGTGATCACTAACGATGTCTTTTACGATGAGGACGTGCTGTCAGTTGCGCAGTGTCAGGAATCTCTCCAGAGATATTTCGCATAGTTGCAACAACTGAGAAGGCCTTTTGTTTGGAACTCAACCAAGAGAAGACGATACTGTTACGAATCCAAGCCGATTGCACCGTGGTTGGGACAAATGGGAAACCAATCGAGACTCTAAGCAACGTGTACTTGAGCGGGCTCTTGAGGCCCTCCAAGATCGCCCGAAGACGGCCCCAGAACGCCTGAAAACATGCTTCGAGACCGCCAAAACGGTCCACGACAGCCCCAGATTGGCCAGAAGTGGCTCCGCACTGTCCAAGAGGCCTCCAAGACGCTTCCTCCCCCTCCTCCTCCCCCGCCTCCATTCCTTGTCCTTATACATAAATTCTCCCTGACGCCTGAAAATTGACAAGAGCTTCACGGATTGGAGGCGGGTGGTTTTCAACATGTGGCTCTCGCCTCAGCCAGGCGCACATTCGTTTAAAAAATGAAAGAACTTCTCGGATTCAGGGCGGGCCGTTTTTAATATGTGGCTCTCGCCTTAGCGCGGCGCGCATTAGTTTTAAACATGTGCAAGAATTTCACGGATTGATGGCGGGCGGTTTTCAAAATGTGGCTCTCGCCATTAGCGCGGCGCACATTCGTTTTAAACATTTGCACGAGCTTCACGAATTGAGGGCGGGTGGTTTTTCAAAATGTGGCTCTCGCCTTAGCACGGCACACATTCAGTTTAAACATTTGCAAGGGTTTCACGGATGGAGGGCGGGCGGTTTTCAAAATGTGGCTCTCACCTCAGCGAGGCGCACATTCTTTTAAATATTGCGCGGGTTTCGCGGATTGAAGGCGAGTCGCTTTCAAAATGTGGCTCTCGCCTTAGCGCGGCGTACATTTGTTGTAAACATGCAAGTGTTTCACGGATTGAGGGCAGTTCCTTTTCGAAATGTGGCTCTCGCCTTAGCACCGCGCGCATTCGTTCTAAAACATTGCAAGAGCTTCACTGATTCCCATCACCAGCGTACCAGAAATTGTGTGTTGGCAAGATTCAGGATTATGCGGATGCAACAGCTACGTGGATTATGTGAAATCCTAAGAATGGCGTTCCGGCACGGCTCAAGATCGTCAATACGCAACAATCAAAACAATGTTTCGGCATGCTTCAGGGTCTTCAAACGGGTGACTCCTGACGAGGCAAGTCCATCAATGGAAATGAACCGTTGTAGGGGCCTAATTATGAAGAGGGAGCTTGGAGGGAGGGTTTACTCCAACATCGTTGATGACTCTTGGGTTTGCACTGGTCCTCCTCCTCCTCCTCCTCCTCCTCCAACGCCTCCTCCTCCTCCTCATCATCATCCTCCTCCCTTCCCATCCCCCCCTGTCAAAAAGCGTCCCCTGGACATCTCCTGGGGTCCGTTCTTACCAGCACGTCGAAGGGGATCCAGCCGTGGTCACGGGCAGCCTCCAGGAGGCCCAGAGACGGTGAGACACGCCAGTGCTTCGTCATGCACTGTTTTTGACGGACCTGTCTCCTTCCAGGACCCCGCCTTCTGGGGGAGAACAAGGCACTCCACGGCCCTCTCTCGGGGTGCGTTCTGACCCGGATTTCGAGACGAATCCAGCCGTGGCGACGTGAGGCGAAGGGCAGCGGCATCGGAACATGCCGTTCCCCCCTCCTGATCTACTTCGGGACGACCGACCACCGCGCCGCTGCCGAGCGAGGCCGCCCGCGGAGGCCGCGGCCGTCCTCGTGCCAGCACGTGCGCACGATGCCTATCCGGAGCCCGGCGGCCTCCTCCCGGGTCGGCAGGGGGACCTGGCAGCGGGCGCGGCGGGGGCGGCGTCGCGGCGCAAGGGGCCTCGCCCCGGATGAGTCTGGCGGGGCTGCTTGGCACTTGGTACGGAGGTCCTCGGCACGAATCGCAGGCGCGCCCTTACCCCAGTCGGCAGACTGCCCCTGGGCAGGGCAATCGCACATGGCCGTAAACACGATGGTCAAACGCATGAAGCGCTTCGCCGAGGGCCGGGGGCTCCATGGAGATATGCAAAACGAAGGACATGCCAATGTGGAGAAGGGAGGGTGTTCTTGACCCTTGTGCCAACAGCAAAGAACGCGCCTTTACTCCAATCGGTGAAAGTTCCCGGAGCAGGCTGGACACAGAGCGACGGGTAATGCCATTCAGTGGTTCCACAGTGCAGACGCTGCGGCCGCTGCGGGGTTGCGCAAGCCACATGCATAATAAGATGCGTGCGCGATCGTGTATCAGAATCCCCCGGTTTCCAAAACCCCCTTGCAGAACACAGGGGAAGTATACACGTGCGCGTCGTTGCGCGCGCATGTCGGAACCCTTTTTAACAAACATAGGTTCCCTACTGATTCTTGAAGTCGGGACTACCGAGTGCATACAAAACACAACTGTTTGACAACATGGGTGTTCAACAAAGCGGTGCGGACGATACTGCAAATTATTGTCCAACCTGTTCACCCAATGCGACCGCGAGGGCCAATTGCGCGCGCATGACGCGCGTCGGCCGCGCGCGCATGCCGAAGTCCTTTTCAAACCTTCACCATCAACGCGTGGACACAGTAATCGGCATCGGCGTGACGAGCATCGGCGCCGTCAGTGGCCCGTGCCGTCGTCATTGTCATCCCTCGTTGTCGACGTCACGATGATACTGCTCCCGCCCGAGTCGCCGACTCGCGGTGAAACTCCCGCGCGCCAGCGCGGCCTGCGCGAAGCGGTGGGAAGTCTTCACCGGTGGGAGCCACCGCGGCCGCAGATATGCACCAGCCAACGCAACGCATTCATCGCAATCGCCGCCGCTTGAGTTTTGCAATCCAAATTGCGGGCGAATGGGTGGGATGTTTGCGCGAACAGTGGGGTCGACAAGTCGAACCTCTTCAAAACGACTTGCACCACATAGGTTGCACAACGTGGACCGCACCACACAGATTGCACCACGTAGCCTGCACCCCACACATTTCACCACACAAATTGCTGCACATAGATCGCTTCATCGAGTGCAAAGGCACATATTCTCCTTTGTGAAGGAATCGGTTCCTACCACCCTCCCCCCCGATCTATCGACCCCCAAGGAACCTATGCAAAACACATCCGATTGTGACCCAATGTCAATCCTGTCTGCGAAATCGTACTATCCCAGCCAAACTGGCATCGCCCCCCCTCGGTTCCCTGGCCAAAAACAAACTTTGCGCGCACACTCGTTTATCAAAATTCATAAGTTTTCAAATATCCCTTTCAAAAGACTGAAACGAAACGCGCACGCGCGCCTCGCCGCGCGCCCATACCGAAATCATTCAGAAACCTCCGGTGTCGGAAAAGTGTCGAAATCGGGTGCCCAACAAAACAAAAAAACAACAAACAGCAACAAAAACAGGGTTTCGCAACACGGTTTTTAACAAAAGCCTTCTCGCGCGATCTTGCAAATACTTGACAGAAGCATACGTCTTTGAACATGATCATAAAATGCCACCAAGCGGGCTTCTCACGCGCGCGCATGTCGAAATCGTTCGAACGCCCTTGCGCGCGTGATGGGGTGGCACGGTCCGTGTCCCAAAAAACTATGCGAGCCACTCTCGCGCGTCTGCCGCGCGCGCATGTCGAATTCCGTCCAAAACCTCTTATCACCGACGCGAAAATGCCGTTATCGTCGTCGGCGTGATCAACATCGGCCTCGTTAGTGGCTGCCCCGTCGTCGCTGTCAGCATCGTCGCCAGCAGCGCTACGATCATCATCGTGTCTACCGTTGTCGACGTTGGCATGGTACCGCGCCCGCCCCCGTCGCCGACTCGCACTGAAGTGCCCGCTGGGACGTGCCAAGCGGTCAGCGTCACCGCGTTCGCGTCGGTCGCGCCAAACTAGCTGGCCGCTGCGAGCGCGAGCGTGCGCGGGCTAGCGCGGCCGCAGAGATGCACCAGCCAACACCCAGCACTCATCGCAATCGCCCCCGCATGGGATTGCAAACCAAGTTGCGGGTGGGTGGGTGGGATGATTGCGCGAGCAATGTAGTTCAGAACTTCAAGTTCGGCAAATGAATTCTCCTTTCTATACGAAAAAACAGTATCCCGGCAAAGCAACCTAACAGCGATGTGTAGGAGCATATCTGGAAGCATTCCCCTTAAGATTCAGATGAGAATCCAGTTGTAGAATTGTGCTGTCCTCGCAGTCGTAGTCGCATTCGCGATGACAGTCGCAGTGGCAACGGGAGTCACAGACACAGCCTCAGCCTGCCTCAGCCTCAGCCTCAGCCTGCCTCAGCCTCAGCCTGCCTCAGCCTCAGCCTCAGCCTGCTTCAGCCTCAGCCTCAGTCTGCCTTCAGCCTCGGCCTCAGTCAGCCTCAGCCTGCATCAGCCTCAGCCTCAGCCTCAGCCTGCCTCAGCATCAGCCTGCCTCAGCCTCAGCCTCAGCCTGCCTCAGCATTCAAAATGCGGCCCGGGAATGGAGTTCTGGGAACTCGAAGAACACGAAGTGGCCTACAGTTGGCTCCGGGCATTCAAAATCATGTCCAAGAATGGAGTTCTGGGAACTCGAAGACCGCGAAGTGGCCTACCACCATGTCTTTTTTGGTTGCGGCGGCTTATAATTAGTTGTAAATACTTATGAGTACTTATAAGAAACTTTACGAAAACATTACGCGAACTTTAAGATAAGTTTTATAAGTCGTTTTAAGTCATTTTAACTTCTTCATAAGGTTCAAGATAAGTCAAACTAACTTTTGGAGGTTTCGTATGATTTCTCATCTTGGGGCGATGCGGATATCAAGCAAACACGTTGCAAATCTAACATAAGCATTGGAACCACTGTGGCCCCATCGGAACCCTGCAAGGGCACCTGCATGAGATCAGACCCCTGCAGGCTTATATATCACAATCATCAACCACAACATCACCATCAAACGCCATCATCATCATCATGTAGCCTAGCCGTTTTGGCTCAGTTTATTGTAGCCGCGTGCCCCAGGAGCGCAGCTCAATGTCTTCACTTGCCACATTCGTTCGGCAACGAATTGAGTACGTCAACCTCATGGCGCAATGCGGCTCGACAGGTGACAAGCACGATCGATTGAAAGTCGATGCGACTGCTGGGATTCTTCAGGGCATTCGCACGGTCAAGGGCATCAGGCCAGATGATGCCATCCAGATACACAGCATCATTTCAGGCGTCCTCCCTGCAGCCAGCGTGGAGAACATCATGACCAGCTTGAACGGGAAGGTGCACCTGAGTGGCTCGCTGACTGGAGTGGTGACGCCAGGGAAACAAGTCAACCAGTACATCGACGTCTACATGGCAGAGGAGGCATGGACGAAGTTCCTCGACGCGAGCGGAGACCCCCAGACCAAGCTGATGTCTATGGCGATGCAGTTCGTATTGATCGGCATTCGGAGCCCCGACGAGAAAACAGCCGCCCGTGGCGCGGCGCTGGCCCTTCAGACGGAACCCTACAACGTCGATCGGCTTCTCGAGGAGACTCGCAGGTTCAAGGCCCTTGCGAGGGCCACCGCGGAATCCTCGCCGACGATGCTTCAGGGGCCGAAGAACTACCCAGAGAACCTCCAGGACTTCGAGCGCGAGAACCCTGACGTGTACAAGCAGGCCTTCTCGGAGCAGCCCCCAGCGCCGACGCGCTGGTCAGTGCAGCACAGGGCTATGGTGGAACAGATGAAAGTTTGCAGGAATTCGAAAACTGGATGCGAGCACGCGGTGCCCCCTCAGAAGAAGGGCGTGATGCGGCAGTTCATGGGCCACCAGCAGCAGCAGCAGATCTATCACAGCTCCCCGAGCTCCCTGATGCCTGGCGCCCCGAGGTTGCAGCTGGCCATGCCGGGCCCGACAACGCCGAGGCAGGCGCCGTCAGCGCTGCAACTGTGCGACGCGCCGTCCAGCCACGGCGCGCCCTCGGAGGCCCAACAATCCGCGCCAAGCGCAATCGTTGCGCCGCTGGCAACCGTGCAGCAGGCGCAGCTCCCGCCTCCAGCTCCCGTTCCAAGCGGACCTCCAGCGATCGCTGCAGCCGCCGCAGCCGCCCCCAGCATGGAGCAGGTGACCAGCATGATCCAGAAGCGCTTGCGGAAAGACAGCGAGGCCGACCTTGCCGAGTCGGAGGACGGCAGTGGCGAACACGAGGACAGCGACGAGGAGGACGAGGAGGAGGCGATGGTAATGACGACGATGGTAACGATGATAACGACGACAACGATGACGGTGATGATGTTGGTGATGATGAATCTGCAGATGGCGATGGTGGTGATGATGATAATGATAATGATAATGATGATGATGATGATGATGATGATGATGATGGTAATAGCGATGGCGATGGTGGTATGCCGATGGTGATGGTGGTGATGATGGTGATGGTGCGGATGGCGACGATCCTGGCACTGCCGATAATGGTAGCGGCGTCGGTGCTGCTTACGATGGTGATGACGACGGTGTTGATTCTGACGACGGCCTCGGCGACAATGGCAGCGGCGGCGATGGCGAAGAGGAGGAGCAGGAGGGGCCAGAGGAGGAGGGGCAGGAGGGAGAGGAAGAGGGGGAGGAGGATGCGGAGGAAGCGACGCCCCAAAAGGGGATGGACGAGGAGGAGGAGGAGAAGGAGGAGGAGAAGGAGGAGGAGGAGGAGTTCTTCCTCCTCCTCCTCCTCCTCCTCCTCCTCCTCGCCCCCTCATCGCGTCCTCCTCCTCTTCCTCCAGCTCGCCCTCCTCCTCCCCCTCCTGCCCAGGGGCCAGCGGTGAAGCGCAGCGTCAAGGCGAAGGCGAAGGCCACCAGCAGGGGCAGGGGCAAGGGCAAG